AACTTACTTCTTGTATACGATCGAGAGCTCTTATGTGATCCAAAGTGTCAATCGATGGAGATAATCCACCATGGAGGCAAAATATTTGACCGTCCACGAGTGCGGTGAGGGGGAAACAATCAAAAAGATCGGTAAAGTATTTCCATACATTCGAATTACCATACTTGCGTAGGCACTCGTCATAGAACCCGTAAACCTGAAAATGGCAAACTAGTAGAGTGACTCAACATGTCATCTTCCAATCACACAAAATTTCAACATCGTCTAATTCGAACACAATCGAAATTTCCAGAAAATGAGACCTATTTGGGGACCTCGAGACTCAAACCGAATAACTGCCAGAAGCGTAGCATTTAAAAGGACTTTGCAACATGAAACCTTTAAAATTTAATGAAGAGAGTGAATGAGTTCTGGTCGAAAGCTTGAACAACGCATAGTCTCAAACTCGGCAAGCAAGTGGTCAGGGGAAAACAGATGTGGAGAAAACTCTGGCAACATTTACAGCTCATCACAACTTGAGATATAGAGAGAAAGAAACAACAACTATCATCCCACATACCTGAGTAATTTGTCGAGACTCATGATTGCCACGAAGAATAGTGACCCTTTCTTTGTATCTGATCTAAAATAGAAAATTAGAGATAGAAATATACTGAAAGCACAACAAATGAAATGAACAATCAACTAATTTCATGGAAAAGTGCATAAATAATCAATGTTTAGAATAACTAAAATAACTAACCTTCAGACACACCAATAAGCTAACAGTTTCAACTGAGTAGTAACCACGATCAACGTAATCACCCATAAATAGGTAATTCGTATCAGGGCTTTTTCCTCCCATTTTGAATAGTTCCATTAAGTCATGGAATTGTCCGTGTACATCACCACAAACGGTAACGGGACATCTGACTTCTTGAACATTGGACTCTTTCTCGAGTATTTCCTTCGCCTAGAATTAACCAATATGTTACAAGCACTTCTCCTTACTCCTCAGTAAAAAAAAGGGCGCTATTCCACATTAGTTGACCCAAAATATAAATATCCTGAA